AGTTAGCGGACACCCACCGAGCGAGCCACCGATAAACCATCTTGTCTCTAACCAACCACCCTGTAGGTCGCCCATGGTAACTTCCCACCCAGTAGTTAGTGCACTATTTCTTCAGTGACGCGCCGTCCTGTTAAAACCCGAGTTAGGGTTAGTTTATTGCCTTCCGGCAACGCCCACTTTTTCCGGAGATTTCCGAAACCTAAGAAGAAGACGGTGTGTTAATGGTAGCTCTGTCCTCTGACATCTTTGTCTCGTTTTGGTAAGAGTTTTACGGCGCTCTCGACTGCATAAGGTCATATGAGCGGGCTGTCTTTGTTTCCTGCAAAAGGTTGTGCTACAGATGTCAAGGTAATTCTTGAAACCGCCGGTAAACTGCCAGCTAGTACTGAAGTGTTAATTTTCTACTCTCTTTGCGTGAGAAGACTATATTTTCTTTATTGTGTTTCTGCTAAATGTAACACGTGATGGCTTCTTCGTGTTTGTGAACATCTCGTACTAAACGGATGAAGTATGTGTTTGTGTGTGTGTGTGTGTGTGTGTGTGTGTGTGTGTGTGTGTGTGTGTGTGTATGTGTGTGTGTGATAAATAAGTTGACAGATAGATATAGTATACAAGATGGAGATATAGTTTACATACTCATGCCAATAGATAAACAGTCAGACAGAAGATATAAAAGTAAAAGACAACCGCTAGAGGAGTAAGAAATGGCAGAGGAGAAAGAAAAAACCGTTATGTCGTTATGTGTTTAAACCACGGCATAGACGACGGAGGAAGTGATAAATGTTCACAATGAGAATCAAACACACGAGCCGTAGAAGGAAGTGTGACTTCAAGAAAAGCCAACTCCAAAAAAATAATGACGTTGAAACGTGTCGAATCTTCAAACGCAGCTCGCTTTTCTTTACTTTTCTCTTCTTTCTCTCTCTCTTTACAAATACGCATGCACAATAATCCAATAAACACGTTGACAAAAACCAAACCAATTAACACGCTGCAGTGGAAAGGGGCGGTTATTCCTAATCTGTGATACTTTCACTGTAGGCTTTTGATTTCAAGGTAATTATTTTCATTCATGCGGGACTTTTCCCGCCACAAAGCCACAAAACCTGGCACACGCGCGACAGATTTGTCGGCCCGTTGTTCGAACGCTCCCTAGGTCTATTGTCGAATTGCATCACGGGAAAAAAGAAGGTTTTTTTTACCTCTCGCCTTTCCCCCTACCCAAGCCTTGTATTTCATTTCGATCTTGATTTTTATGATTTGAATTTAGATTAAAACCAAATGTTTTCCCCGAGACGTCTTTCAAAATCTGTTATTCCAATTACTTCAAGACCGGATTTATCATAGCAATTAACTTTACTCTCAAATCTGCTGGTAATTTTCGATTAACTTTAAAGAACGTAGTCCAGGAAAAAGTCGATTAGGACGAAGAAAAGTTATTAAAATATAATATCAAAATGTAATGGAAAAAGAAAATAATATGAATAATATGATGCTTAACTTATGGATTTCTGCGTGTCACAAATAACGGGAGAATAAGAGTTTTCTTTAGGTAAACGCCACAAGGAATAATTCAGCCAGCCGACAGACAGAGAAGACAGTTTGTGAACTTATTTAGTAAGGGGAAAGGAGAGGGGGATTGAACTGTAACCGTTTGTGAAGCAGCAGATGCCGAAGCCATCAAAACACACAAGATTGTACTCGACTAACAGGCATGGAGGACTGCTCTTGAAAATAATATTATTTCACGGCGTGAGAGTTGGGTGGAAGGGTTTGCTTGTTACAGTCACTGAAATCCACTTCAACAACACGCTCTCAATTCTCGACTTTTTTTTGGTCGAGTGCGTTCCGTTAGTTAAAGCGTGTAAAGCCCATTACTTCTTTGTTTTGGCCTAGTTTATTTAATTGCTCGGTACCGATTGGCAGTGGTGCGAAGAATCGGGAAAACCCTGGAGCCCAAAGTGGATGGCTATTGAGTCTTGGTGAGAAACTAAGGGTGTCAGTTTTCCTTGGTGGCAGTTGGTGAAGATAATTAATTGTTGACGACAATCGGAGACACTAAGTCAGTATAAAAACTTCGAGGTTTTTTTTGTTCTCCTTCTTTTTAAAAATAGATATTGACGAAACAAACAAAAAGGTGGGTGGGTGTAAAATGCGGGGGTGGGGAATCTTGCTTCGGACTAAGATGTGAATGTATTATTGTAATATTTTGACTTGAAAATTGCTATTCCCAGAACATTCAGTTGTTTAATTTATCCTCCCCTCCCACCCCCCACCCCCTGCCCGAAACCTTATCTCCCTCCCTCGCCCTTCCCTAAATATCCCCCTCCCACTTACATATCTCTTCATCTCGCCC